GGAAAGAAAAAAAAACAAGGGTGGGGACAAATAGAGCTATGAATAAGGTTCAAGATGAATACCATGATGACCTACTCATCTGTCATGGACGAGCCACACACTGGCTCTCAACTTTTCCAGCAGCCAATGTAAAACTAAAAATTTTGTCAGTTATGTAGTTTCTAGTGCCCACGACATTAAAAAATATCCTGGCAATTTCAACTGTTCTTGGAACATATACTATAAAGAAAAATTTCTCCTTAACTTCTTCTAAAGGGAATACAGGGTGATATTCTTCAAGTTTGGGAAGACTTCTTATTAGACACAGTGCTTTCTCATTTCATATCATTGCTTATATTGAGAACTGTTGTAGGCAGGTGCCACTGCATATATCACAGAATGATTGTGTAAAAACTGACTTTCTGGAAATCACTGGATATTTTCACGGCACCCAAATCATTTCTGGCCTGCTATAAGTCATGGGTAAATATTAAAATATTGAAATAAATATAAGACATATTTAGTAGTCACAATAGTAGCTGAATTTGTGTCCTTTAGAAAAACATTCTGAATATTGTTTCTACTCAAGTTAAAGATTTCCTCTTTTAATTATTATTTCAGTTGTACAAAATTATGGGGTACAGGGTGATAAATGGATATAGGTAGACAGTGTGTAATGATGGAATCAAGACAGTTAACATTTCCCTCTCTTAAATTTGAACATCTAAGTTAGAGTTTTAAATAGTTCTTAGTTAAAATCTTAAAAGTTTTGGGTCCCATATCTGTCAGTTGAGGTTTGTTTGGAAGTCAGATTTTAGTCTGAGAAGCCAAATTTCTCACTTTCTTATCATGAGAGTATTCCCCTTGGGCAAGTCTTCTACATTCAACAATGTGGCTGGACCAGGGGTTTTACAGTCTTGAGCTTTTCCTATAGTAGAAAATAATATGCTGTCCTAGAAGGACTCAACACAGTTGAATAACATATTCAGGTTTGCAGAAATTCTGTTCCCAGTCTTGTATACTCTGAATTTTGGAACTGAAGTAGCAACTTTAGTGAGAAATTTTAATATTACATGTTAAAAACCTAGATCTTTATTATTCATTTTTTGAGTGAGACGATTAGGTAAAATAAAAGCAGTTTTAATATTTTGGCCTTTATCAATGTTTGTAGGTCTACTGAGAAACCTAGTTTATACAAAAAGAGTATTCTCCTATCACTTATCTTATACTTGCACATATATTTTCTCTGCTAAAATGTACATAGCTTATTTAGCTACATGGTTGAAATTTTAAAATATTTTAAACAACAATGTAAATATCTCAAGGCATAGCTGATCATTTGGTAGGAATAGGTCTATTAGAGATCTTCCCAGAGATTCAGGGGAACAGGATTGACTACTTGGCTGTTGAGTGGATATCTCTCTATATCTACTGCAAACAGATTTATCAAATAATCCGCTTATAAATAGAGGCTTGTGGTATTGCATAGTATTGTATGAAGATACCTGGTAAATTTTATCCAAATCTCTACAATGGGCACCAGTATAACAGACATCAGAATTATCATACTTCTTTCTCTACCATTGCCACACCATGCCACTTCTCACTCCTACAGTCCTTAAAATGGTGATATAAGGTTTAGCAAGAAGCTATGTTTTCCCTATTGGTTTTAACTCTGGACACAGCTGCTTTAAAGAGTATCACCACATCATTAAACTTGCGTAGTCAAGGGCCTGGTAAGAGTACCAAAGAACTGAAGTTTTCAAATGACACTGAAAACTTGACATATGCTAATTGCTAGACTTATATGTAAATATAAAATTATATTTGTTCTAATTGCTATATTTTAAAGGTAATCTTCTCTTTTATGATTTTGATTATATAATCACTAGAGTGAACATTTTTATTCATAGCATTTTCTTCTACTATATGAGATAAACAGTAAAGGTTGCAGCATAATTTATGGTGATAGAAAGAAAAACTAGCTGCATTATAGGAAGAAAGAATGAGAAAAGAAAAGAAAACATAAGCAAAGAGGAAAAAAGGAAGAAGAGGAATGAGATGAACACTCAGAAAGGCCTCTAGTATAGAATGGTACTATAAGATTAGTCTATTTGGGTCATTATCATAACACCAAAGCTTTACAGAATCTACCACAGTGTTAGAACTCAACAAATGTGCTGAATATTGAAAAATGAAGAAATGAATGTTTTATATAAATTTACATATATAAATACATATACACATATGTATACACAAACATATATATGTGTGTGTGTATACACACACACACACACACTCACACACAGTGAGCAGAAATAAATTCATGCTGCTATCCTATACATCCATAAACTAGGTTTAGACCTAGGTAAGCAATGGATATATTAGGTTTGTAATTTCTTTTAATTTGTTAAGGACAGAGTGGGGGCATGTCTACATTTAACAAGAATTCTCATGATTACAGACCAACAGATATTCTGGAAACTCTAAAAAATCCTTTTCAATGATTATTGCAAATATTCTGAAAGTATGTGCTCGATATAAACAATTCTGGTTCATCATATCACTTGCTATTAGTTGATTTATGCTTTGAAATCTGTTTTGCAGCAATGTCTGCTCAACCAGCTTTCTCTAAAAATCACATATGAGAAATGTGTATGATTTCCTAATATGTTCAAATTAAAGTATTAAAATATTTATAATTGTTACCCAAAGCTTCCTGTGTGGTAGATAAGGAAGCACACTAAACTGCTGATACGGATTTTTGTCCTTAACCAATTCTGTCACTACTTGGCTGTTGACCTTGGGCAGGCTACTTAAACTTTCTGAGCTCAATATTCCTCCCCTATAAAATAAGGGAGTTATAGTAGATAAGTCTCTCCTTAGGATCCCATTGACTTATAAGTGCCACTGATTCTCTCCCCATTATCCCTAAGTGAGGAATCCCAATCCTCTCAGTATGCTGAGATGAAGCAACTGCTAAAGTCTGAGGCCTGAAGTTCCCCGTGAGACAGTTGCACATGGTAGCCAAGGACACAGTCTTTGCAGGGGAAGAGGCTTGGTGTGTTACCTAGGGCAAGTATTAGCCTCTCAGAAATTCAATTTCCCTATCTAGAAAGTGAGAATAAGACAAGTTCTTATAGAGGCTCTGTATTAAAGGAGATAGTATAAATTCTAGCCCTAATTATGGTAACTGGCACAAAGAAGTACTCAATTAAAAGCATCCATTTTTTTTTAACATTGTTATTTTCTTGGCTCCATTGAAACAACTGCTTTAAATAATGCTTCTCCCAACTGATTATCACATTATTTTAATAAATTATGGTATTTAAAGGGTTTTAAGGTGCCAAATTGGAATTACTTGTTTAAAAAAAAAAAGGGAGGGGAAGTCATGTGCTCAGGGAATCTTTAAAAATTAGGCAGAGATAGCCTGTGTGCTAACCTTTACCCTGTGGCTCCTTCACTTAATAACAAAGTATTAATAAATAAAACTTTAAGTTGTTTGATGAGTACTTGTATAATCTAGGCCAACTATGCTACTTATACAAACTTTCATGCCCCAGAGAAATTTGATAGCAATGTGCTTGACATTTTAGTTTTGACATACAATTATAGGAAAATTCTTGGTCCTAGTTCTTAATATCAATAGATATTAACACCCCTTAACTTTGTCATATGTAAATTTCATTTAAATACACATAAATGAGATAAAATCATTCCTAGATGAGACAGATAAATTTTGAAGGCTGTATACATTCTTATTTTATAATTAAGAAAACAATTACTTAAGAACACACACATACACAAAATGACGGACAAAAATTCCCCCAAATGTGGGAAACAGAGTATTTTGCTTTGCTTTTAACTATGGCAGGAAATATCTGTTTGTTTATTTTGACCCTTGTACTTCCATAGCCAGATTAAATTTCAAACAGAGTTTTCATTCTCTTTACCAACAATTGTCACCCTGCCTTGTGGAAACTCATGGTTTGCAGGGAGTTTAAGAATATTTGCACAACTTGGGGATGGACTTTTTGTATACAGGGGACTCTTCTAACCATAGGGCTCCCTATAGTATGTTAATTGGTTCACAACAATATTCTGGGTCAACCTGTGTTAAAGATGATTTTAAAGCCTATCAAATTTTACAGCAAGAGTTTTGAGTTAGCATTATATGTTTAAGAATGTCTCCTTGATTCTCAATTTCTTCTCATTCAGGAGATATGAGCCTCAACTGATTGGTAGCAGGTTGCAGAAAAGTAATCACCTGAATTTCTTCCATAAAGTTTTCTGTATGATACAGGGTAAGTAATATGTTCTACAGATAGAAAAATAAGAATCTGCACAGATTTCTACATCTTGAATACTTTCATATTAAATATACAAAATTTACCAAGTAATTTTATCAGTATATTTATTATAATAATTTATTTACCAGTATACTTATTATAATAATTCAACTTAAAAGCTTCTTAGGAACTAACTTATTATTATCTGTCTCTATAGACCTATTTACTTTAATATTTTATTGCTTAACTCTCATAGAACTTTACTTATTTAAAAAGCATTTTCTTCCTTTCTTTCTCTCTTTCTTCCCCATCTCCACCCCCCACTCCCCTTCATGCTGGAAAGTGAATCCTGGGACTCACATTTGCTCACAAGTGCTCTACTGCTCAGCTATATCTCTAGCCCTAATAGCAACTTTAAAGGCTTGCACGTTGAATTTATATTCAACTTTCTAATGCATGTCTATAATTACTATTTGTTAAAAGCTAACCAGAAGAAAGAGGTCGTTAAATGTAGACACTTTATAGCATCTAAATTAAAGAAAGATAAAAAGGGGAACTTAAAGCTGTTGCTATGCTATTGTGGACCTACTGATGGTGCCCATGGATAACAGTGCTAGTTGAAATTAGAATGTACATGTTTTGTGTTCTACCTGCTCAATCTGGTGCTTTTAGTTGGTCATACTAAAAAGAATTGGGGAGTTGAACTTTAAGAAATAGTCAAAAATGGCTTACCAAATCCTGTCTGAGGCTGACAGAAGACCTGCTCTCTCCCCATTTTGTCCACCTTCAAACTTGCCAAGCCTTGTTCACTTTGGCTTTATTTTAAAAATGCATTTCTGGTGAGTGAGGAAAGGTTTTGTACTGTGTTTTCAATGACTCACCCAAAATAACTCCATTCAACTTGTAAATGGTCCTGTTCTGAATGCAGATTGTGTTTGTTCTGAAATGGGCATGAAGGAGCTGCAGAAGGGAGATTAGAGAAGGGAAATGTGGTGGGAGAGGCCAGTGAGGTTTATATTCAGGTTCAGGCTCACATTAGGAGAATTAATTTTGTTTAAAAAAAGATGCTGTGCGGGGTGTGTGTGTGTGTGTGTTAGAGAGAGAGAGAGAGAGAGAGAGAAACGAACCATTATGAAGTTTATACCAAATAAAGCTTTTCAAGATCCATCAGTATTAGATACATGGTACACATGGTCACCAACCTTCCTTTTTTCTACTTTTCATGAAATATAGAAAGGAAGATTTACATATAATAGGTAATTCCAAATACATGCACAGTGAACAAATATATCTTTCAAAAAGTTCTAAATGGCTCCAAAAATAGGTAATCATACACATTATACAAGAGCTAAAGAATAATCTTCAACTAAGAAGAAAATGCATATGCTAGAATCTCCCTGGTTTATGGTATCCTACAGAAACATCCTTATTATCAATTGGCATTGGCATAGACTGAGAATTTTCTATGGATAGATATACATCTTTAAAACCTTTTATGGATCCAAAATGCCATAGATATTTAAAAAACAACATTTTAGGGCAGGACTAAGAAGAAAAAGAATGGACTGATCCAAACTTGAGCATCTAAGCATCACAGATAATACAGACACCTATAATACATATAATACATAATTATGTGTAATATGTGATATATAAATATACATGTATAATATAATAGGTAACTATAAATATTTTGGCTATTCATTAACTATATCTAATAAAGAGGATTCCAAAATCTTCTTGAGTTGTTTCATTAACTCATAAAACAGACCCAATAAAACTTATTCTATTACATAATCTTGCTTTATTCCATTGTTAAAGAAGAATAGATAAGCCGTTTTTACCTGTTGCTCATAAACATGGGAACTGAGCCACTAGAAAGAAAAAAGTTGGCCACAAAGTTTTACTGCAGAGGAGTTAAATTTAGGAATATTTAGCAATCTAAAAAAAGTATGATCTTAGAATTAGTGATAAAATTGACAAATCTTTAATATGCACAAAATCAAAAGTATACAAACAAATAATTTACCCAGATTGTATAAATAATTAGAGAGGCAAAGTTTTAATGGTATTAATACAATACTTTCTTCTCCCTCTGGTGTGTATTTAAGAAAATAGAACAAATCAAAATAGTAGACTGTTTTATTAGTGCTACCTCATGAGGAAAAGCAACTAATCCAATAATTCTTAAATTTTTGCTAATATGGAAACTTCTAAGAATAAGTAACAGGTTTGAGTTATAAATCTATAACTATACAATCTTATTACCTTAAATATCTATAATAACTAGTAATACTTTATAATTATGGCTCACAGGTATATATCAAAGAATCAAATTCAGACTACCATAGTTAAATTACATGATAAATAAGTAAATATTTGAAAGTTTTTGAAGAGTTTACTCCTATTGATTAACTTTTTCCTTTCATTCACTTTTATTCTATTGCAAATTACTCTACTCATATCCCTGGAAATGTCAAGACATATATTGAGGGAATCAAAATATTTGCTGCTGAAATGAATTTTAGAACAACTGGGCTAAACAAAGTTAAATGTGTTAATTTAAAATAAAATTTGAGGACTTTTCAAGTCTTTAACATTTGTGACTGGGACAAAGTAGAAGAAGAGGAAGGGATATCATATGCATTGTTTCCCAAAGCTATTTCACCCAAAATTATTTTTTTCCTTGAAATATAAAATGCTTCTTTCCATTTATTTTTTGTTTTTCTTATTTGTTGTCATTAGGTTTTTATTTTTTATTTTGTTTTGGTACCAGTGATTGACCCTGGGACTTTGCACAAATGCTAGGGAAGTGCTCTACCACTGAGCTAGAGCCCAGTCCTTTTTATTTTTTATTTTGAGACAGGGTGTCGATAAATTGCCCATATTGGTCTCAATCTTTCGATTCCCCTGTCTCAGCCTCTCCGAGTCACTGGGATAACAGATGTGTGCCAGCATTTCAGGCTGCTTACTGTTTATTTAACCAGATATTCTACTTACCTTACCCTCCCTTTGATCATAATAAAGGAAAAAATTTGATATAACTGCAACTCTACCACTAATTAGACTCAGGATTATTAAGATTTTGAGACACAAAATAAAATTTTTTACTACATAAATATCAGTGAAGAAACAGTAGCTTGACTAGAAACAAAAGTCCTGCACTAGAACTACCTTACCTCCACAGTAAATCTTGATTTGTAATTTTGAGGCATGTGTTAAGGTTTGGAAATGTAACATGTAACCAAGTAATTAAACCAAGCATAATGTTTTACTGATGATATAAGCTTTTCCATTTAAAATTGTGTAATTCAACCAGAGTATGTTTTCTGTCCTGGCCTGAATTATTTCAATTTTAAAATATAGCTGCATAAGCATGAAGATATTTGTCATTCACTGGCATAAGAATAATCCCTCATAGAAAACTGGTCTATTTTTGCCTTTTGCAAGAAAATAATTCTAACATCCATATTGAGCACCTACTTAATTTCATTTAATATATCAATTGGGGAAGGTAGATATGATTACCACTTCACAGATGAGGAAAGTTATTACCAGAGAGATGAGCTGTCTTGCCCTAGGCCATACAGCAAAAAAATAAGTAAAAAAGAGATGTAAAACTTTCAGACTTTAATCTGACACCAAAGATGCTAGCTACTGTTTCTATTATATCATGCTAGATAGAGTGATCCACATCTAATATAAATGTGTTCTTTCCTCCACTACCTAAGCATCAGTGACAGCCAATATTCTTTAAGTAGAGCATTTGCAGTGTGGATTCACAGTTTGGAAAATAAGTATTAAAGAAGCACATTTATATTAGAAAATAATATAATGTTTATCATTCACTATTGAATAAATGAAACACATTGGGGATTAAAAAAAATCTCAAAGTTGATGATACAGTTCAAATTCTTTAGTTTTTAAGGCAATAATAATAAGCTGGCTCATGAATTTCCTTCCCAATATGTAACCTCAAAGCTTTGCATTAAAAACTGCCATGCAAAAGAAAACGTACATTTGTGTTATTGGAGATTCAATAATTGCTATATTCTAATGTTACCTACTGTGTTCTTTTTTTTCTTTTGATTCTGGTTGTCTGATTTTAAAATATTAATTATGCCTTTCTCAAATATTTTGTTATTATTGTCTAAAAATGTACTTAAGCAATAGCAAGACTAATTTAAATATAATAGGCCTTGGAGAAATAACATAAAGCAAATATTTTGCCAGTTTGAGTGTCTATTCTTCAAAACATTAAAAAAAAAACCCACCTTAAGAGGATTCAGTATTCCCTTTGGGATCAGCACTGTACTGAAAGCATAAGGGGTGCAAGAAGAATTTGGACAAATGTTCTTTATATCTCTGAAGTTTACAATCTGTCTGGTAAGCCAAACATACTGTCCAGAGACAGTCTTAGTCTTTATTTAATAATTTAGTTTGAAAATAGATGATATGGAAATTCTGTTTTATATATGGGAACTGTGGAGGGGATGTGAGTAGGAGGGGTGAAACCATGGAGTCAAAAAGTTCTGAATCAGCTGGATTTTGAAAATCAAGCAGATATTTGATATAAAGTACAGGAATGAATGAAGAGGAAAAGTCAGAGTCACACCAACACATAGATGCCATGAAACTGAAGAGGGGGCAGCAGACAGACAGGGTGGGGTCCCTTAAAGACCCCGAATAAAACTGTGAAGTCTGCATATTTTGTATCATTTGACCAGCCCTTTCCATGCACCTCCCCCACCTTCCCACCTTCCCACCTTCCCACAGGTGGGTCTGCCCTATTTTGTAGGGTCACTAAATGGTCAGATGCATTCTACTACAGAACTCCTGAGGCTAAGAAGTCTTGAAGAGTCAAAGAAAAGATTTCTAATAATGAAAATTGAAGCTATTGAGATGCTAACACCACTATTTTAACATCCCTTACATTTGCAGTAAATATATGAGGCCCAGTATAAAGCTATGATGGTTTGGGAAAGGTAGCCTGGAGTCTGAATCTGAACTTGGGGATATTGGTAAACCATTAGAAGTTGTTGCTTTTATTCAGAAATATGGATTTTCTGAAACTTATAAATTGGAGCAATGTCCTAGAAACAAGATAGGAAAGAATGAAGGCAGTCAAATCAGAGTTCAGTTTCAGCAGTCCATGCCTTATGTTTGGATAAAAACTTGGCACTATTTCACCTCAAGAGTATTCTATAGTCTATATTCTCCAAAAATTATAGTTTCCATTAGCTATCAATGACAATACATTTAGTTACCTTATAATACAAATGTTTTCATTAGAAATTTTACTATGCTCTTCTTTTTAACTTCAAGTGAAAAAAATTATCCTTTAAAATATTTATGCAAAATTTCTTTTCAATCATGTTAGAATCAAAAAGTGTTCAACTTATTCATCAGAAGATAGCCAAATACAATAAAATATTGGAAGTCTTACACAGTAGGCGTAGATTATGTTTAAGGGAACACTGTTGTGTTATACTTTATTAGACTTTGGATACATTTTGAGTCATTTGCTCAGGAGACTTAAAAACTAACAAAGGGAATGCAGAGCTCATGTATTTAGAAACCTTGACATCACTGGTTTCTTGTAGCATCAAACTCTAAGCAATTTGACGCACCTCTCTATGTGCAACTTCAATATGACATTTCCAAATTATTCTCTCAATTCATTTTCACACCTCACATAACCATGATAAATAACTTTCCTGGGTATGAAAGCAACACTCTATGAAACTTGATCCTTTCCAGTTTTGGCATTTTGAGAATGCCAATCACTCGCCTCTGTTTCTTCCTTACCCTAGTCTTTTGGACATTAAATATATGACACTTCACGCAACTCCTCAAAGAATGCGTTTCAGGGAGCCCAAGCCGACCCTTGTTTTCGCGCGGGGGCGTTTTGTGAGACTCGGCCTTCCCACTTTGTGGCTATTTTTGGAAGAGGGAGGAGCTGACAGAAGAAATGATTATTAACAAACAAATCTCACCCATTCCGCGGGCAGCGGCG